TTCAGGGATTGAAACTTGCCGGCCTCGAAAAAGTTATTAAAGACATCGTTAAAATAGTCCAAGTGACTACAGTGGCTCAATCTTAACTTTATCAAGCGATGAGAATACTTAAATATCTTAATTTATGTTCCGAAGATTAATGAAGGTCTTACGGGGTTGGAACAACATGAGGGTGAGGAAATACTGACAGAATTTTTATTTTTGGGTGAACTATCCCTTTAAGCCTAGTCCCAGACTAAAATGCTTTGAGCTGTTTTAACTGAAAGCAACTCTCACTGAAATATCTTAGGTCTGTGCCATTGTTTGTTTCAAGATACACACCAGTAATGTTTGTTTTAGCAGCCAGTATTAAACCAATTATTTTTGTAGTACCAGTAAGGCACGTTTATAAAAGCTACTTAAATGTCCTCCTAATTGAACTAAGGCTTAGTCCTGGCTTAATCTAAGCCCTCTCTGTGAAACCAGGCCATAGTCTATGGATAATATTTGCAATATTTGCACTATTGTTCTGTTTGATGATTGTTGTTTTGTTCTTCAGGGAACTTCTGGAAAAAGAACTTGAAACTGTTGGCATTAGACTCAACCGTCCCAAACCAAATATCTATTTTAAGGTCAGTGTTTCAGTTTTTCTCTTGGCTAACATGTCCTTTAAATGTATTTAATATTGTGCAGAATATCATTTATTAATTTAAGTCCACTTTACTCTCTCTAAAATACCATATGTTTTTTTGTTTAAACAGTAAGATTTCTTTATAAAGAGAATCATACTTTTTTAAGCAAGGATACATTGATCAAAAGTGAGAGTAAAGACATAATGTTACAACATTTCTGAGAAATGCTTTAATTTTAAACCTTCTTTTCATCAAAGAATCCTGACAAAAATATTAAGCAGTAAAAACTGATCATTTTTTTCAACATTGATTTCTTTGACATCACAGGAATGAATTACATTTTAAAATATATTTTCATAGAAAATGGTTAACTCTTTTTACTGTATATTTGATCCAATAAAATACGCCTTGGTGAGTATAATAAAAAAATCTTACTGACCCCAAACTTTATTAATCATTGTCAAACATGACGATATATATCAACATGAAGCACTACATGTATAATTGTCCTTTTGAAAAAAAAAAAAAGTTTCTGAAATGCTGAGACTGTTTAGAGACTAATAGGATTACACACACATACTGAAACATTACTTTTGCTTTTTATTTATTTATGTTCACATGTAAAATATCTGTTTTTCAGCCTAAAAAAGGTGGTGGCTTATCATACAATTCAACGGTTCCCCTCACACACTGCTCCGAGAAGCTTGTTCAACTCATTCTTCATGAGTACAGTATCCTTTTGCCTAGTTTTGTCACTTTTTTTTAATTTTCCTCTAATGAAGAGCGACACGTCTACCTTAACTTGACTGCAGAAATCTTCAATGCTGAGGTCTTGTTCAGAGAGGACAGCACTCCAGATGAATTTATTGATGTCATTGTGGGCAACAGAGTGTACATGCCTTGCTTATATGTGAGTGCATATTTCAATTCGAGTATCAGCCTAATGCAAAGCTTCTCAGATTTAACAGTATGTTGACAAATTTGAAAATGATTAATCTTGTTACAGGTGTACAACAAAGTGGACCAGATTTCAATAGAGGAAGTGGATCGTCTAGCCCATAGACCTAACAGTGTAGTGATCAGCTGTGGCATGAAACTGAATCTAGATTACCTCCTTGAGCAGTTATGGGAATACCTGGCTCTGATCTGCATATACACCAAGAAGAGAGGAGGTGTGCCTTTTTGTCCTCATATTTTAGTCATTTAAAGTCATAGGGGTGGTGGATAAGACGCATGCCTTTGGTGTGAGATACCTGGGTTCGAATCCACTGTGAGACACCAATGTGTCCCTGAGCAAGACACTTAACCCCTAGTTGCTCCAGTGGCGTGCGACCTCTGACATATACAGTATAGCAATTGTAAGTCGCTTTGGATAAAAGCGTCAGCTAAATGAATAAATGTAAATGTTAATAATTTAGCAGGCTTTCACACTATAGCAGTGCTGCTCAACCTTTTTGATTCAGAGGCCCCTCGTTGTCCAACATATTTGAAGTCTGACCTCTATTTACAGTATTTTTGCTGTAATCATGACAAAGCTGCTTGTTTTGTATTGATACATTAAGTTATTAAATTATCCTTTTTAGCATTTTAATTGGCTTTATGCCGTGCGTCACGTGACCAAACCGGAAAACGGGTCTCATCGCATCCGCTTGTCAGAGAAAGTGTTAACGGCCGTAAGAACTGACTACGATATCTCTGGATATTTAAGGTAATCAGCTAACCTACCTAGTTCACTTTGTTATTGGCGTTTTATTACATTTAAATATCTAAACGTTACTGTGAAGAATAAAAAATATAAAACGTTTAAATATCAATCTGCACATGTGAGGGATATTGGTTATGCTAATCTTTGTTCGCTCCTTTTAAGTTATCTTGAGTAAAACCGCAAAAAATTTCATGAAGCACATACAAAAGACCTCGACCGGAAGCGATGCGACCTGTTTTACAGAGAATGCGGAAGTAAGTTGTGCATAAAGCCTATTGAGATTAGAGTTAGATTATTGTAATCTATTAATGATTTATTTGAGTTCTTAGTGTAAACCAAGTCTGTTTGGCATCAGATTTTGGTTTATTTTGGCTTTCCATTCACGTGAAAAGGCTCACATTTTGTATTAAATCATTCCTCCAAAATTTAAATCTTAACAGAAATTTGGGAAGTTCCCTTTCAAGGATTGCCATAAGAAGGAGCGCTGTACAGTACTTTTTACAAAGCGTTAATTTTGAAGAGGTGTATTTGTGTTAATTTCCTGTTAAAAATAAAAGCTAGTACAGTATAGAAATTTTAATTTCTATAATTATTGTGTTTTTCTTCCCCTCCTTTTTTATTGTTGTGTAGCACGACCAGATTTCGGTGACCCTATAATCATGAGACGAGGAGCATCAGTTGAACATGTGGTATGTCTCTGTATTACCTGCAACGTTATTTATGTGTTATGCTGTGGTCAACCTGTGAAAAAAACATACTCGGTGCATCTTTAACCAAAAATTTAAACATTTAGAAAACCGCATTGTAGATGATGAAGTGTTGTGCAATGTGTAAAAATATTCCTTTATATGTGCATTTATATTTTATATGCTGTCTTAACTAAATCTTCATTATATACTGTATACTATAGTGGCCAAAAGTGATATCCAGAGAGGATATTTGTTTTTAATGAGTTTGATTAAACCATCAAATATGCGGAAAATATTTGAAATATGAGGGAAGAACAAAACATTACATTTGGTTAAGGTATTTATGACAAAATAGGGAAACTACAGCTACTGGTTTTTGTTTTATTATGCATAGAAAAGCAAAAAGCTCAGGAAAAAAACATGTCTTATACATTGACAACTACTCAATAAGCTTACAAAATCTTTAACACATTTTTAACAATATTTGAATAAAGTGTGAAGATTAGGCCGGACATCACTTTTGGCCACTTCTGTAAATGTCAATTACATGTATGAACTCATGATTGCGCCTCTTACTTCTTCCAGTGTCACAGAATTCATAGGACTTTAGCTAGCCAGTTCAAGTATGCACTTGTCTGGGTAAGATTCTCCTTCACCTGTAGTGAAACATAGTCTTGCTTTTGTTCCGTATGTGCTTTTCTTCAACGACTACTGTCTTTTTGGATCTTAGGGAACCAGCACAAAGTACAGTCCTCAGAGAGTAGGACTGACACACATCATGGAACATGAGGATGTCATTCAGATCGTGAAGAAATAAAATCTAGTCTTCGGATCCTCTACAGTATCAACAGAACATTTGATACATGAACAACAGAACATTTTTCTGTTAACAACTGCAGTGTTTCGCAGAACTTCACACGGAAGAACCTGTGGTCAGCCACTGAAAAGTGATTATTTTGTTTATGAAAACATCCTGACAAAACCCATTCAAATAAATATTCAGATTTTTGTTCTTATTTGTGCCTTTCACAATGTTTTTTTTTTTTAAACTGAATTGGACATGTACAGTAAAGAATATAAGTCTGAGACTACTTGAAAAATCTGGCATTCAAAAAAAGAAGAAATGTTATATTTCATATTCTGCACTTTTCTAGGCCAATAACCAAATGTGTGGCATTGATCATGTGAACTACTCCCTGCAGACAGTCAGATGAAGCAAAAATAGACAGAAAATGGAGGTATAATAGATATATAAAAGACATTGGAAATATATAAGACTGGGTAAAGTGACAAAAGAAAAGAGTTTCAACACAAAGCAATGACTATCATAAGATCTGCTGGTGGATTGCACCAATCCTGTGTCAGCTGTATTGACCCATAAAATTAACATGACAGGGTTCAGTGACCATAGTTCATTCTTATTTGAAGCACTCAGACAAGAACACTTGTCCATACTAGTTGAAGATAGCTAGAGAAGATCATGTTCTTTTAAGGAGTAGCAGATTATGTTGAACTTCAACACTACAATTGATCTCACCAGGTAGGTCTTACCATTTAAATCATTGTTAAGGGTTAATTGCATCTGTTATCGCCCAGGTCATGAGATTGTGATGTTTTACTGCACACAAATCCAAGGAAGATTTATAAATGTGTTTTTTTTTTTGTAGTGTATCCCGTATAAAACTTACATTTATGCATTGTAATAAAGTATGGTTATATGGTGAAGGCTTTATATGATTGCAGCTCACCATTAAGTTCAACTCACAACTTAAACATGGGTGGTGATTTAAAAGCACTCTTTATATCACAAGATGTTAACTGTTAGCTTTCTGTATTTGTCTGAAAACCTAGAGCTGCCTACTCTTTTCATTACAGAAAACTAGCATAATAGATGACATTAAATATGCATGCTGAGGCACTAGGGCTGTACAGCACAACAGACAAGTGTGGAGTGGGGAATTATCAAGCCATTGCAAGGCTGTTCCACTTCAGGCTTGATGGGGCTTTGTGTAATTAGCCCACATTTCAAACCCCAAAAATGATGAGCAGGATGACGAGAAACTGTTTTGGAATAACTTAAGGATTTACGTTTCTATGCTGGAGATACTTTGAATGAGGTTGGATGGAAAGATAATGGTAAGAAGGACGAATTCAGTTCCAATGCGCTTGTAAACACGACACTTGATGCTGCATGGGGCCATATGGTGCGGTGTGTGTGTGTGTGTGTGTGCTCTAAGTCGGGACTGTGTACATCTTACTTCATCTTACTTCATTCTGATATTCTGCACCATTTACTGCTGTGCTAATCGTGAGGTTTTGAACATAAGCTACAGGAATCTTTTGAATACTGCAGTCTGACATTGTGACATGAAATGTAAACTTATTTAGCTATTTGTAACTTACTGAAGAAGGAAGCTCCTTAGGACAATTTTCTTTATTTTTTCTTGTGAGCAAATGTTTTTACATTTACAACAGTCTCGAATCTGATTGGCTGAGAGCATTTTCCAGCTGTGCGATATTTCCCCAGTGTCCGCACCTGAACGTTACACGTTACATTTGTATCACTCCACTTACAGTGACTGTCATGATGGCCAAGCAAATCCGCCAAAATTTTTTTTGTTTTGTTTTTTGTTTTTTTACAAATACTAGCTAGGCCTATTACAGTTGTGTCATGAAGGCAAGAATGAAGGTATTTCTCAAAATGTTACTCATATACGCTCACCTAAAGGATTATTAGGAACACCTGTTCAATTTCTCATTAATGCAATTAGGCTATCAACCAATCACATGGCAGTTGCTTCAATGCATTTAGGGGTGTGGTCCTGATCAAGACAATCTCCTGAACTCCAAATAAAACTGAATGTCAGAATGGGAAAGAAAGGTGATTTAAGCAATTTTGAGGGTGGCATAGTTGTTGGTGCCAGATGGGCCTGTCTTAGTATTTCACAATCTGCTAAATTACTGGGAACTTGCAATCTGGCTAAATTACTCTTCACACACAACCATTTATAGGGTTTACAAAGAATGGTGTGAAAAAGAAGAAAACATCCAGTATGTGGCAGTCCTGGGGGCAGAAATGCCTTGTTGATGCTAGAGGTCAGAGGAGAATGGGCCGACTGATTCAAGCTGATAGAAGAGCAACTTTGACTGAAATAACCACTCGATAATAACCTGAAATAACCAAACAACCGAGGTATGCTGCAAAGCATTTGTGAAGCCACAACACGCACAACCTTGAGGCGGATGGGCTACAACAGCAGAAGACCCCACCAGGTACCACTCATCTCCACTACAAATAGGAAAAAGAGGCTACAAGTTGCAAGAGCTCACCAAAATTAGACAGTTGAAGACTGGGAAAATGTTGCCTGGTCTGATGAGTCTCGATTTCTGTTGAGACATTCAGATGGTAGAGTCAGAAATTGGCGTAAACAGAATGAGAACATGGATCCATCATGCCTTGTTACCACTGTGCAGGCTGGTGGTGGTGGTGTAATTATGTGGGGGACGTTTTCTTGGCACACTTTAGGCCCCTTAGTGCCAATTGGGCATCGTTTACCACGGCCTAGCTGAGCATTGTTTCTGACCATGTCCATCCCTTTATGGCCACCATGTACCCATCCTCTGATGGCTACTTCCAGCATGATAATACGCCATGTCACAAAGCTCGAATCATTTCAAATTGGTTTCTTAAACATGACAATGAGTTCACTGTACTAAAATGGCCCCCACAGTCACCAGATCTCAACCCAATAGAGTATCTTTGGGATGGGGTGGAATGGGAGCTCCATGCCCTGGATGTGCATCCCACAAATCTCCATCAACTGTAAGATGCTATCCTATCAATATGGGCCAACATTTCTGAAGAATGCTTTCAGCACCTTGTTGAATCAATGCCACGTAGAATTAAGGCAGTTCTGAAGGTGAAAGGGGGTCAAACACAGTATTACTATGGTGTTCCTAATAATCCTTTAGGTGAGTGTATGATAGCACATATTTGACAATTTGTTTAAACCTTTTCAGAAATTGAGCTCGAGACCATCAGCGGCCGTTTAGCCCTCATATATCCGCAGAGAACACTTTCATCTCGGCCAGTCCTTCGAGAATTTGCTGCTGCCTCTTATCTAAATAGTGGTTAACCCTTTATGTAGGGTGACCATATTTTGATTACCAAAAACCAGGACACTCGGCCCGGCAAACAGATGGGCCTACTCAAATGATACTCAAAGTTTACTCAAAGATACCTTATTAATTTCAATACATTTAAAGTAGGTTATGTCTACTTTGTATGGATGGAAAATTGTTATATTGTTATAAGGAAACAGGAAATGTCCTGGGAAAACAGGACAGTTGGTCACCCTACTTTATGGCACAATGTAGCCTTAAATGTGATGCAATTAAGAAAAATAATATTTAAATGATCATTTTGCTACAGTTTTTGCTTGAATATGTTAGACATATCTGAGCATTTTTGTAATACATTTTAATTTTTCAAGTTATAAAGTGTTAAAATCAGTATTCAATTTACATATTAAAACTAACTAGTGTATGAAATGGCAAATGTAAATTATATAATTGATTTTTTAATTTTCTTTTTGCACCAACGTTGCACAAATGTAATGAAAATGTAAATTTAAATACAGAAATGCATTGCCATTTTACATATTGCTTTGTCATTTTGCATATTACATTTCCAATGGAATAGCCTATTGCCACCCAAATGCTCCCATAGATATGGCTGTATATCTTTGATTACATACGTCATACGGCACTCGTGCCTACGGCCAAATCACAACAGTGCTGAGACAGCCATATCAATCGGCTACTGTGATATTGCTCACAGACATGCATGACCTTTCTTGAAGTTTTTAAAAATTTAGTGAAATTAATTCTTGTTTGCAGTTTTTAACTAGTGTTAATGCCCACTTGAACAATAAGACTAGATAGAAAGATGATGGTTTTGAATGTTTTACTCTCATATTTTATAGAGCATTAACATCATCTTTAAGAGGGCCAAATAGGTCCTGTGACTACTACAGTATTTAAAGCATGGAAGGTGCTGAGACGACCCATAGGAAGTGATTAGAATGGGGAAAGTAGAAGTGCTTTTGATACACAAACAAAACAATGTATTGTTACAAGACACAGGATGAGGGAAGTTAATGAATATTTTATTCAAAATGAACAACATTGATGTTTGCATAGGGAATACCTGAGGTAGACATTTCATGAGGTTCTTGTGTGGTGTTACAAACAGTTTATTTCACATCTCAAACTCTCTTCTTTAAAGAACCTTTGCTGCCCCCTGGTGATTTACATGTAGAAAATGTGTGAAAAGGCTTCTCAAAAAGAAAAGGACCTGGATGCAGCGTGCAGATAGGGGCGGGGCTGTATCTGGGGTGGGGCTGCATGTGTCACCCCACCCCTCGCATACTCTGGTTGGTTCTGTCGTCTTTCATAGGTGTTCGCGATTGAAAAAAATGTGTTCGTATTTGGTGTAGGAAGGAGTAGGCAACATGTCTTTTTTTTTTTTGTGTGTTCATTACTTTAATGAGCTCGTTAAATTATTACATTGTTTAAATTAATACATTTTTAGCAAACTGTGACTTTGTACATTTTTTAAATACATAACTTAGACAGTTTCCTCTGATAACAGAACTATCCTAACTGTAACGTGGACTCGTGCACTTTCATGAAATGATGCGTATTGTGAAAAGCGCTACACAAATAAACGTGAATTGAATTTGACAGGAAGTAAGAATGTCATTTAATGTCAAGTCACATTTTTTTTTTAAATTTTTTTTTTATTGCAAATTAAAGAAAAAATACAATAACAGCAAACAGAGGAGAAAAAAAATACAAAAACAATAATAGAGGGGTTACAGACATCAAAATAGATTGCATTAAGTTATACAAAATAACATATTACAATTTGTAAAAATAACCAAATTAAAGGTTCTTTACCACAGACTCCAAAATATTATGTGTTCTAGAAACCTTAGAGTTTAATGGTTTTGACAAATTTTTAAATGAAGAAAGGCAACATGTCATGTAAAAAAAAAATGGAAAAGCTGTGCAGTTTCACAGCGCCTTCATTATAATGCACAGAAAAAAAAAAAAAAAAAACATTAACCTGTAACTCAAGATATCCCCGAATTTAACGTTTTGGTCTTTAGGTGAATGCAAGGGATGACCCACAACACTTTAAAAGCAAGCAAGACAAAAAGACGAAAAGATGCACTGTCCAGATGGGTTAGACAGACAGACTAGAGATAGAGGCACATCAACTCAACTTTACTGTTCTTTGCTGACATCAAACGTGTAGAGGAGAGAACACAAGTCTACCTGATTGCTGTTCCTGCAATTCACTCTCATGGTATTTTTCTCTCTCTTTTCGTAACCAAAAGGATAGATCTGCTTAATTTTCTCATCGATGTTGTAAAGTTTGATTGACACGCTTTGACACGAGGGGGAATTGAGAGTAATTTGCGAGGCCCTATAGACTGTAAAATAACAACTTGCTAGTGTGCGTGGGCTAGTATAGGGCATAGGGCTGATTGCCTCCGGGTCTTTAGCCTAGCCTAGGAATTAATTATAAATTAATTAGGCTAAATAATTTATTTATGACATTTTGATTATTTAATATCACCATAGAGAAATTAAATTAAAAGTATGTATCAGTAACATGACAAGACAGCCTAGTTACAGAAGGTGTTATTGGTCATGCAGTTGTACGATAAATAACTAAATAACGCTGCAATAGGAAAATGTGCCTGCCATGTTATATGTGTGTGTTTATAAAGCTATAGGCCTATATCAGACTTTTTGCTACACTTTATTTCAGAAAAACAATCTGTTCGCCGTTATTTTGAAGTCATGAAATTGAACTTGTGGTAGGCTACGGGAGCCTTCCCGTGCTATGGAAAAGATGATATTTTCCACTTGTGAACTGGTACTTACCAGTGAGTTGTGTTCAAGTGCTTTTATTGTAGTAATGTGGTGAAAAGATGGCCGGACTTACAGATCCAGACCTGTTATTTGGCTAAAACAATTTTAGACTAGGAGACTCCTATTGACGGCTAGCTAGCATCTGCTCTGGGTAGGTAACAGTAACACCAAACCATAATGGTATTTTTAAA